CCCTCCCTTTCTGCAAACGACAAAACAAAACTGACAGATATTAAAAGTTGGTCCAATTACTAGTAGTAGGAACAAGAAGATAATGTTTCTAATAGGCTGGCCACTAGTAATAATGTTCAATTTATAATTCAGCTTTAGCTAATTACTCATAGGTTGTTTGTTTGTTAAATTCGCGATAAATTATTCGAGGGCTATCTGCGCTATTCGTCCCCAATTTTAAAGTGATAAACTAATGGGAAGAGAACTAGTCCCAATTCGTGGGATATTTAACTGAATAGTGGGATTTGAACGTCACTCTTATAACGCACTCACGGCTACATAGAACAGAGCGTGGTTTTTTGTGTTTTTTTTCCGGCGGTAAGGGGGCGCGAATGGAAACTCAGGTCTACAACACGGCACGCTAACTGTGCCTCATTTGACTTTATAAACGTACCGAGATAAGATAAGGAGTACAAACAAGAAATTCAAGTATTTACCCCAAGAGCTAAAACGTTTCAGAGCTGCAGCACGAAACCAGAGGCACATAATGAGCCGAAGTTTTTACTGAAAGATATATTTAATTTAAACTTACAACGAAACAATAAATAACAAAATACCGCTTATGTCATGGAGTGATTGTAAATAGAATTTACCAATATAGTAATCCTTGAGTTTTTATCGTTTGATTAGTCAAAAGCACCAGTTTTTAGGTTTCAGTGCGAGTTTGGAACTTCGTAACATTAAGAAAAAAGGCCAAATCCCCTTAATTAATTCTCCGTTAAGTTTGCCAGATTAAAATTTTAGATAAGTTTAACGTTGAATATTATTTATGATTTTAAGTAATGAAATATTCACACATCTGTCTTTGTTCTAGTTTTATTGTGTACTTAAAAATACGTCTGTTACCGTAACAGTTTATCTATAAACGTTTCAGTGAACAAAAGCGTTAAATATGGTAATAACACAGTAAATTTATTCTTTGATGCAACTCTCACAATGTATATTTATCGCAAGCTTTTACGGGCATTTTTAAGCCTTAAATCTTGAAAAATTACGACAAATATATAGTTAAATTGGAGATTGGAAGAAAACATTTATTGAAGTGTTGCATAAAAGTAAAATATACCTACAGAGCACTCGAAGTTTCACACTGTGATGAACACTTCGCTGAAGCTCTAGGTTGGTAGCTTGACAAGTAAATTCAGATGTGTCGTCCGCGGAAGTGACGTTAAAGCGCAGTCGACTTCGAGACACCTTTCCACCATAGAGACCATCGACGACTCCATCATGGTTACCTGTGATAGGATCACCATTTCTCCACCACTGGACGCGAGCTTCAGGGTTGCTGGTGGCAGATTCACAGATTAAAACAACCTAAACACATGAAAAAACAAAGGCAAATAATATTAATTTATATCGAAAATAATTATACAATTAACCATTTTATATACCTCATTAAATTCTAAACAAATTTCAGAATATTGGTAACAAACTAGACACAGTTTATATACGTTTCCGAGAATTTAGCCTGCCAATACAAATGCATTATTAATGAAATATGAAATAATTATTTTCCTGAAAATGACAATGTGAAAATAATATACATGATTTAGTATAGTCAGCTTGTTAAAAGGAAAAAAAGTAAACGGCTGTATAGATTAGTTAATTAAGACAACACCCACATTTTACACTACGTCGTAAACATTTGTAAACAATACTGTATGAGCATTTTTGTTGAGATTTTTTTTAAAAGTTTACACGCACAAACAAACGACTAAACCCAATTTTTGAAAACCATTTATTCACTCGGAGTTTTGGTTTAAAACTATAAGAAGAACCAGGTAGTGTTACGTTTCTGATCGTTTCTTAATTTCCGGTATAAATTCTTCCCGAAGAGCTTCAGCGATACAAGTCCTTTCTTAAATAAACCTATTTTATTCTTTCTCAATACAACTTTGCAATACACAGAATTTCCACTGCCACTTTAACTTCAACACACGCTATAATTCACAACGATTCACGCACTTTACTTGCGGTCACTACCGCTCACTTGACTAAATTATCTGTCTCTATATCTCTCTTCAATCTGCTATCTGCAATTATCACTTCCATTTTATTTGCCGGGCTTATATATTAAAATAGAGGGCGTCTGGCAAACACTGGAGCCTTCATGATCCTTCTAGAAACTCATCACGTGTTACCAGCGTCACTTGACTTCCGCTGTCGTAACAGTAGCAGCTTGTGAAACCAAATCCAAATGATCACTAGAAATCCTCATGAAAATAAGTTTTCTTAGAAACAACACTCAGATTAAATACGAGTTGACTCCAATCGTGAAAAATGTGAACATAAATCAAATCACCAGGTAATTCTTCACGTAATTAACAACTTGTTTATTTCAGGACCCACGATTTTAAATCCGTCGCTACAGCATTCAACGAGCAAGCTCGTCAAATGCTTCAGTAATTGAGGAAAGTCTAGTAGCAAAAAATGAATAAATATACCATAGGTGTTTTAACTTTAAAATTTTCCAATGTTGCAATTCTCTCTTTCTTTTATATGCGAATTTTTCTCACACCTCGAGCCTTGTTAGGTGCTCATAAGATTGAGTTTCTATTTACAGTGGTCGTTCTAATGAAGCCATAATCCGAGATAGCAATTCAAATTCAAATTGTTTTGGTAACACTGAAATTACTAAACTATTTATGAATAGTATCCATCAATTATCATTAGTATTGGCAGAATTGCGGTACAAAATAACTTGATTGATGTACTCATATTATATCTGATACAATAACTATGTCATATATTAGGTCGCCAAGAAATTAATGTCGCTTTTATAAATGAAAAAATCCGAACAACTTATATATCAAAACAAAACATTTATTAAATGAAATAGTCTCCATT